CTCTCTCTCTCTCTCTCTCTTTCTCTCTCTCTCTCACATACACACACACACACACACACATACACATACAGGTTTAAGAGGGAGAGACCAACTGGAGAAGCGGAGAGGAGTGAGAAAAAAGAAAAAAAGAAAAAAAGAAAAAGAAAAAAGAAGAGAATCTTTTTTGAAAGGAGGAGGAGAGAAAGGCGCAAGGGGGAATCCATCATGGTAATTGGTGGGGAATGATTGAGACGGGACACGGTGTTACCAGAGGATGGAACTGCGGACCTCGAGCAAGCCACATCTGCATAGCGGTCACTGCCGTCGGGCAGGCAGCACTCTCGACAAGAGCCCCCTCGAAAAAATCCCCCCTCCCCCTGATTGATTTGGATTTTGGGACCTTTCCTGAACCTTTTTTCCTCCCTTTTCTCATCCCTTTTCTCCTTGTCTGTTGTGGTTCTTGTTTTTGTTTATGTCTGTCAGTCTTTTTCCCTTCCCCGTTCCTTTTTTCTCCCCCGTTTTTTCTTTTTGTCTTTTTTTTCTTCTTCTTTTTTTCTTCTTCTTTTTTTCTTCTTCTTTTTTTCCTTCGTTTCCAGGATGAAAGGTGAGCCTTGATCCGTGGTTCGATAGGAAAGGGAGTGTGGTTAGTAGGCACCGGACTCAGCGAATCGCTAGCAATACGGATCGGAAACGTTTTTTTGTTGTTTGCTTTGGTCTTGTTTTTTCCAAACGGCGCGTCAATTTCACGTTGCTTTTTCGGGAAACGTTTTTTGTACGGAGAAGAAGCGCAGGGAGCAAGCCGAGCAACTACAGTGCACGGCACTTCCCGCGTTCGTCATTTTTTTCCCCCCTTTTTTTCAAAATACATGTAGCACCGAGGCTTGTTCGAAATCAAACACAGGTACTGACGAACACCGACACACTACATATAGGCTAAGCAATGGCCAAGGGCAGCAGGTTGCGGTGAAGGTTCTGTACAGCGGCGTTGTACTCGGAACGAGTAACCTGATTTCATCATCAGCTAGCGCGTAGACTCCGGGGGCGTCTTCCGATTGTTCATCAGCGGCGTCCAGCGGCATGGATTTCTTCGTAGACTTGGACCAAGCGGAGGACTGCATCGACGCTGATGAAGTGGTATAGCTCCAGCTAGCTATGGCACCCATCACGATCGAACCTTCAGCAGTACTAGTGACCCTATCCCTTCTCTCCCTTTGTCTTGCGCTCCTGCCTAATCTAATAATCGTAGGATTTCTCCTATGGGCGTGCCAATCTGAATTCATACTTCTGGCACCAACTCGCATCGCGACTTTGCTCTTCTGCGCAGCAGGCTTCTTCATCGCTCTTCTAAGCGCGCTCCTGATTGCAACTGCCATTGCTTGCGCGCTGACCATATGTTGTTGGATGCAAGGGTAGAGCATCCGCACTTGCGCGAAGAGGCGGCAACTCATTTAGCAGCACGATACTGTGGACTCCCGTGAAGACAGTGGATCGCACCGAAGACTTCGACACCATGGCGGTCGTCGAAGCGAAGAGTGGGAGGGCAACAATGGAACTAGCGGCGTACACATTCCTTGCGTACCTCGCATTTCTCGCATTGCTAGCTCTGCTCTTCTTCATCATCCTGCTCCCGGTCCACAACATACAGTGCTCGATGCCGGAGTCGCGTCTGCTGATAGCACAATGAGGCGTCAGCACCTTCCTCTCTCCCTCCGCCCACCCCTTCCACCAGCACTCCCACCACCGCGTCATCTTCAGCCACGCTCCGCTGCACGGCTTCCACTCCCACACGCACCACCCACACAGCTAATACCCCCCCGTCTAAATCCACGGCTTCCGACGACAAAGGAAGTTGTTCCCTCTGATGAAGCCGTCAGTGGCAGGCGGCAAAAAGGCCTCAGGGAAATGCCACCCCTCCTGTGGATCTGTTGAGTAGACCTTTTGCATATGTATATGCGGTAATGAGGTCTCGGTATGGCATGGTGCAGGTTCTTGTTCTCACCTTACCCCCCCTTTCCTTTTCTCCCACTCCCGCTTCGCCAGCTGCAGCGCTAAGATCGTATTGTTGACAGTGCCCCTCGTGCTTTGCTACAAGGATTGGAGTGAGCAAACTGAGTAACGATTGTTTTGGTATAATCAATTTGCGTGTGTAATCTTGTACGTGATTTCTTCACCTTGTTTGTAATTTTTTTTTTGTGCAACTTGTTTACTTTCAGCATTTTTTGCAGTATGTTCCAATTTTTTCAGGGTGTTTTTTGTTTTTCATGGGAATGAGCACGATGCATGTTTTAGGTCCCACGGAATACACTGGTCCGACCAAATCTAGACCTACTTTACAGGAGGCTAGAGGCAGTGAGGAGCCGCAGTCTGACGGGGAGCACTAGGCATGATGATTGGAACTAGTCTCCATGGAACAATTGCATGCTTGAGTTAGGCGAAACATGATCTGGTTTTTTTGCCTCTTTTGCTTTCTATCTTCTTTGTGTTCATCACCTCTGTTTAATTATCTCTCCTGCGGTCTTCTTCGGTTTTTGTAAAATCTGGTTTTCAGTGAGGATGAGCGTACTACATGTTTTTTGGTCCATCGGGATACGATGATCCCACCGAATCTAGGCATCCCGTCAGGGAGAACAGTAGGAACGGGGTACCATCGTATGACGAAGGGATGCAAGGCTTGTTTGTGGAAGCTCGTCTCCATGGCAGCAGATGCGTGCATGAACTGAGCGGGACTTAATCTTATGCATGATTTTCCCCCCCTCCCCCCTTTTTTTTCGTGTACCCCGGGGTATGATGATCCCACCAAATCTGAAAATACCTTTTCGAAGGAGGCCATATAACGTAGGAAACCACCATGCGTCAGGGTATACAGGTCTGGTCGGTATAGAGTCGTCTCCATAATGCGCTTAAGCCGACCAAATCGTACATGTGTTTTGAGTTTGATAATTGATGCACATCTGATTCTCGGTTTAGGATAGGTTCGGTCTATCAACATTGATTCGATGATTTTTTTATCTCGTTACGGTACCCCCAACTTGGACGACTCTCTTGCTAAGAAGGGTATGAGGGAGTTGAAGCAATCAATCACCTCCCCCGTACCGTTCTCTTTTCTATTCCCAGATCCCGAGATGAGCGGTGACACTACCAAATCCAGGCCTACCATATAGAGGACCAGAAGGAGAATAGGACCACCGCATGCTCGAGATATGAGAGGACGATTAGATGGGAACGCTACCTCAAAACAGTTGGATAATAGTAATTGTCATTTTTTCTCTGTTAATTCATGGAATGCCAGTGGAATATCGGTTTTCCATTTTTTTTTGCCTTTGTTTCATATCTCGAATATGTCGAAATTCTTTTAAATGGCACAGGGGAAACGGTGTTATATGGTGAGAAGCAGACGACATGGGGATCTTGTCAACAATTCAGAMCCCTCCCCCATTTCGCACCCTTTGAGAAACCAGGGGGGGCGGACGCACCATGAGATACCCCCCACGCCGTAATAATAATTTTTTACGGATTTTTTCTTTGTATGTATGTTTTTTACTAATTTTCTCCCCTGTTTTTCGAATTGCCCTGATAATGGCACTGACGATCGCGTAGCTACTCTGGTATCCGGGATATGTCAAACCCCAGCATGTTCGGAGGAACAAAAAAAAATTGAGTCGGAAACGCAAGGTTAATCCACCATCTCAGTAGATGCCCGCCTTGCCACAAACGAAGGCATGCCATACCTGCGCAGTTAAAAGGATACGAGGTGCGTCGGTGAGCTTTCACCGGAGAACGTGCATGATGTAGCGAAGCACATCATGACATAATATATCTATACTTAAAACACACACACACATACCCACACATACCCCCACACACACACACACACACACACACACACACACACACACA